TTTCGAGTTCCTCTGACCTCCAGTTTACAGCGTGAGGACAACATGATGATGCATCAATGCACCACTGAGACATGTAGTATAAGTGTGTGGGCTGTATTAGAGCAGCAGGGGTCTTAAAAATGATTAACAAACAAGTATTACAGGCTGATGGATGTTTCAGTCATCTCTCCACTTCTAATTGGATTACACAACATTTCTAAACCACACTCATCAGCTCTTGTGAGTCAGTGTTTTAGTTGTAAGACTGAAGAGAACATGTTTATCCTACTGCGGTCCAAAGCAGTGTTAAAGGTCAACCATGGGAGAGCTCACCTCATGGTGTACAGCAGAGTCCCATCATCTTTCAGCCGCAGTAGCTTGTTAGGGGTAGTCATATTATGTGCGATGGATTTCTTCCCATTGAGGAAGAAGGTGTCCGGAGTCCAGATGTTACTGGCCAGAAGATTATTCAAGGGAAGCATCTCCATCGGGCCTTTAAAGCAAAGTCTTTCATCTTTCCAGCTTTGACGGAAGAACACATCAATAGTGTATTCCTACAGAAAAAAACACAATTCACACATGTTAAAAAGAAAACACACATTAAGTTACTACTGTACATGTATATGGGGGGTAATGTGATAAAAGGTAGAGGACTGCAGGTGTTTCTATACATGGAGCCTCATTTAAGGAGAAAATAACTTATTATGGATATAATCAGTATATACTATATTATATATACACAGTATGTCATAACTGACTGCACCTTAATGTTCTACACTAATTTTTTTGGTTTTGTTAATGCTGATAATTATAATAATTATGAAATGAATCAGATATGACACAATTGGATTAAATGTGGGTGCAATTTATGAAGGTGAAATATGTAAAGTTCTTGTTATAACCCGGTAGGTCAGACAATCCGTTGACATCCTTTTTAAACAAAATTGTATTGTGTTTTTTTTCATAGGAGATACAATGTGCAAGCCGAGCCTTCAGCCGTGGTGACAGGCTATAGATTTGATACGACTGAAAGATGGCGGCTCCCCCCTTGGTGTCAGACTTTCAAGATAAATCAGGAAATCAATATAATCAAGTCAGTTCGTGAGGAAATATTTTCAGATTATGTCTGATAATGAAAATTCACTACGATACACGTATCTGAGTGTTTTTATTTGCCGATACGACTTAATATCATATATTGTCCCATCCCTACTCAGTATATTTCAATAGGATTTTAGGATATTCATTGATACAGAATGGGTTGTTTTATGTGATAAAATTACGGCTGGATAAAATATCTCAAATGACTTCAAGACGTTGAAAACGTGACTTAATAAAAGGAGCTTCTTACCATTTCAGTGTCAGAGACTGGACCGAAGCTTGTGACAAAGATGTTGGTTTTGATCTCTGTCACCTTTTCTGTAAGAAGAGAATAGATAAAGAATGTCGTGAGCCTTTACAATGCATTCATATTTTGCATTATTATTCAGAACATCATCTGTTCTACGTATGAAGGCCTAATGCAGGTTTTTGCTTTCTGTGACATTACAGAAATGAAAAGAGAATAATAAAAAAGGAAGAAGCACTCTGCACGTTGAGACTGAACTGTGTGAAAAATTCAGCGAGACTGATCGCAGATTGTACAGACATACAGGGATTACTGTTTGCTTTCTACAAAGTGCTTATGATTACTTCAGACCCATAAGAAAGATTGCTGAATATGTGGCGGGTTAAGAACAAAAAAATCACTCATTGGAAAGAAACAGTCACCTCTGGACAAGCAGTTATAGAAAGCAAGAATGAGCTTACAGCATTGTAACAGTTTCAGTAAAGTTACACACCAAAGTCAATATTCTTCACATTTTAATTAAAGCCCTTGTATGTAAGGTTGGAAAAGTTCTGACTTTAGAGTCAGAACTCTAGTTAGTAGTAATATAAAAAAAATACAGTGGCATTACGTTTTAAGGAAAAAACTAAAAACTTTTCTAATGAAACGTGAGATTTTTTTTACCCAATACATGAAATACATAGAGGACATTTTTAATTCAACTAAACAGCCTAACTTTATGATTAGACATATGTTGTTAGGTATTTAGAAAGAAACCTGATTTCATTGTAATGTTACTCAGCACACTCCAGATGCATGCAGCATGTCAAAACCAGGCCTGA